TATTTTCCGTCACCACGGTAGTAGGGCTTAGTTTGGTTCTGCACGATAACAAAACGTAAAAAATCCCCATACTGTGCCCAAAAACTGGCGTTCAAAATTGGTAGGTTAAGTTACGTCTACTGGAGGAGCTTCTATTTCCGAGGGATGAAACTTTTTTGAAATGGAAGCTGCCGGCAAGGAAGGCGCTGACGTGAACAAATTTTTCTATCACTTCCTATTTGGGCTTTCAAAGAATTAAATTATATCTGCAAGGAAACTCGGATCTTCTACAAAACTCGATCAGCAAAGTTCATGCTCAAGCGTTATAAAAAGTCTGCATTTACCCTTAACACATTTTCGTCGACCGTTAGGTCTTGCAAGCTGCAGTTTTTTTGCGCGAATTCATCTCAGATGAGTTTTCGGTAGCCAAATTTATTTTTGAACAAAATTTGTAATTTTTGGACTCTTTTGCAGAGTGCTCTTTGCGTTTAGAATTACAGCCTTATACATTTAAAAGAAAATTTATTATAGTTGGCGGTGAAGAACATTTGCCTGAAAAATTGCCTTTCCGCACACATTCTCAGTTTTGCACCCTTTGCCAATTTTTCGGGCCAATGTTGCAAGCAAAACAAGCTCACACTATTTAACAACATATCTATCTTGATATGGCTCGGGAAATTATATGTCGTTCTTCAAAATATACCATGTATAGGTTCAATCCAAAAAAACAACATAGATGATCTTATTAATTTTTTAGGGAACAGTTCTACCTCTTTTTTTGGTGGGGACGGCCAAAATTGCGGAGAATCTATGGAAAACATGCCAATTCCAGCAACTCCAATCTATGTTTATAGATCAAAAGCAGCTCACACAGGACAATTTGAATTCCAGTTCCTTCTCCATTGCTGTTTTCTTCAAGGACTCTATGCTTGTTGTACTTTATGTTTTCAACAAACGTTCTTGGCTCTCATACCACAGTTATAGTACATCCCATTGCATATTATTGCATTTGTCGTCGACATCTATATCAAGTTTCTAGCTCTTAGTTGCTATAAAGTGTGAAGTTCTATTTGAAATGCTTGAATTATCAATGATAAGGATTTTAAGAGTGCAATAACGAATAAATTATTCTCTTCTCTGAAGAATAGTAAGAGAATTTCCCTTTTCTTTGAAAAACATCTTCAATATAAGCAGGGTTTTAGACTTAGACGAAAATTTCGATTGTTGCGGAATGCCCAGCATTCGAGCAGAATAACAGTTGAAGAATAGACATATGTAATCATTGTTTTTTTATCTAGTATTTTATCTAGTATATATCTATCAAAGTATTTTCCGTCAGTTGAATTTACCAAAGTATTGTTTCAGATACTAGCAAGTTTTTATTCACATTAAGCGTCTAAATTTCGCCACAAACCGTAATCTGTTTGACCGCAGACCTTTTATAAACGATCAAAGCCAAGTAACCCGGAAGTTTTTCAGGGAGCTCAGATCTCAAAGCTTTTACTTATAGCGCCTTGCTCAAGCAGAGGACCTCGTGAAGTGTTCGAGTGAATATGCGAGCAGAGTTATCGTGAATAATTACCCAAAGAAGTGTTCAACGCAGCCCCTTAGTTACAAGTATCGTTTGTGTTGTAATGTTCACGCTTTTTATTAGTGCAGCATCTGTGATGAAAACAATATCTATCTCTCAAAAAGCTCTTAAGTTACAAAGCAAAATTAGTATCACATATAAAAATAACATCGAAGCAGGTTATTTCTGAGGTATATAACGATAGAAGCACATTATTAAGCTTAGCACGTTTTGAAAAAATTCGCTTTTCATTGCAATTTTGCTAGGGATCTATTATGCGTTGTGAGAAATCGATTCATATGTTTAGAAGTTTAGAAACGTAACCCTGATAATCTAAAAAAGACAATAATAACCTATGCTGAATTAACAACTCAGAACTCGGCTCCTTTTTTATCAAAATTGTCTGTACAGCAGCAGCTACAAGTGACTTGTTTATACTTGTAAATAATTAAAATAAATTTTCTTATCAAGAGGTTTTGGAAATGTACCGGCTGTCACGCCCGATTTCTCAAAAATATTCGGATTATGGACCAACAAAATTTTTGAGAAGCATCACAAAAATCCGGGGTGCGTGGCTAAGGCAAAAAGAAACTTCGAAAGCAATTTGTCGCCTCTCTACCCCCCCCCCCCCCTCCCCTCTACCCCCATTCCCCCGGAAGAGGGTTTTGGTGGGACCGTCACTGCTGTTTAGCATGGTAGTGACCCAAACATTTATTCAAATTTGGGAGTGATAGGGAACATTTAGGGTTCCTCGGAAGGCTTTTCGAATTTTCAGAGTTGGTCGCAGTCACGTTAAAAATTAATATCTATCACAGAAATGAATCAGATATAAAGGAACGGCAACTTAAAATTGAGTGCTTCAGCATTTTTCCAACTAAGGAAGACCGAATTCAAAAATTAAATTGTGCGGTTGGAAAGATCATTTACATAGATGGTACTATAAGAAAGTTGAAATGTCCAATTTGAAGGCCAAAGCATAAAAACAGCGCTAGTGACAAAGATGTAGCTAACAAATTTTCGAAATCACAGAAACTTTCAAATGACCAAAAAGCACACGAATCAGGAATCTGATGGTCCGAGGAGATAAAAGTGTGACATTTTAAGTTCGACTGAAAGAGCGCGACTTCTCAAGGGAGCAATTGACAGCGACAGACGACATCACACCAAAGGGGTTGGCTTCGGGTTCATGTCATATTGTCGTTTTATGTTCGTTCTTTTCCTTGCCGTTGACCGCTCATCTTATAAGGCGTCAACTTGAGACAACAGTGGGTGGTCTTGATTGCCTTTTCTGACGTTTGGGAGGGCACAAAAAGATGGGAAAGCAGTCATAGTGGGTGCAATAGGAACATTTTGCAGTTTCATTTTGCAAAGGTCTGATGCTTGAGCAAGCTAGCAAATCGTACATCTATATATCGAATTTAATTCCGTTTATTACCTCTTTTTATGCATAGACAGCTCCAGATACAATGTACAAAAAGACCCTAGGATTTCCAAGTCACTTCATTTTCACCGGTAGTCTTCTTGCCAATTTCAGATGCGTCCATCACTTTTTTCTCAGGTTCTGTTGAAAAATCTTGAAGTATAGTGCAAGACAGCCGAAATCTCAGTTTAAAAGAAAAATTTATTTAAATTTCAGAAAAGCAGGAAATTCTAACATTATTATTTTAAATTCTTAAGCTCCAATTTTTAAAATTTTCTGAGCCCTTTTTGTGAAAGGCTCTCTCCTTCAAGGAAATCTCCTTCCTGTACTGCCTCTTCGTGTCAAAACGTCATCTGTAAGCTCTAGCTGTTTTGGCATGTATTGTTTATTCAAACCAAATCTTCTGATCATTTGTCACTTGCGCGTAATTTTCATTCTTAGCATGAGATTTGTCACTCAGAAAGGCCACAAGATAGTGAAAATCCGAATAATACAAAGGATGCGCCAGTTATTCCTAAGTGACTTGGCCGAATATACCTTTTTTTTGGCAGAATTCCCTCGAGTAAATTCATTCTCTAATTATTTTCAGTGAATTAGCTTGTTGATGTGCGACGATAATGTTCCGCATGTGCATACGTTATGATACTACTCCTCTCGTGTTCCTATTCTTCTATAGCTTTGCAAATGATCACTACTAGTTTTTTACTACACTACTGCTAATTACTGCTAATTATGAGAGCTTCAAAACTGCCAAAAAGAAGAGGGACGAAGATTAATTAATCTTTGGAATCAACCATCAAAGGATCTACGACTTTAGCGTTGTTATTGGAGGGAATTTGCACATTTGCTACATCTAGCCTATTGTTATATTCTTTCATATCTACTAGAACGTTTCAGATTCTATACAATTAGCAGAAAAATTGGAGGTACGCAGTGAATTCTTCAACAAAAATAATTAGATATGCAGGAAAAATGACCAAAATACATGTGAAATTTTGTTTTTTGTTCATTCTGCTACTTTTTTGAAAAGTATCAGTAGTGGTAGAATGAGGAGGTGGAAGGAAGGATTGGGAACAGTGAAAGACGGAAGTGTATTCAGAATTTCGTTTTATAGCTTAGTTAAAGAAATTGATGAAATAAGAAGTTAACATGGCAATTTTTGCTTTTGATTTCTGAATCTGGAGTTCGCGCATTCATTTGCAACAAAATGCATGATAGTTCTAGGCTCATAGGCTGTAAAATAAGGTATGGTCTAGGTGATAAAAGCCACTAAACATGAGATTTGTTTAAAAAGAAAGACTGGACTAGAGATCCATAAAAAAACCCTAAAAAGTAGTGGTATGAGAAAAATAAAGATAAGAGAGTCATGATGGGTGAACAATATTTGAACGATATTATAATGATGTTGAAAGAAACACGCAATTGATTTCACTTTTGAGCGAATTTGCTCAAACAGTAAAGATTTGAGACCACTACAAAAATATGGTGAAAATATGATGTCAGCGGTCCAACACACTCCAACGAAGTAAATCGCGTATGCTAGAATGAAACGATTAAGGGTCTTTGGTCGGAAAGACTTCTACAATGTCGCTTTCAGAAAAGAAATCACTACGTAAGAATTCGATAAACTAGGAGAAGTCATTTTGGAGATTGGATTACTTTGGAAAGTCCGATCTGCTCGCGCAACGGCCGCTCCGAGTTCATCCCTCCTCAGCTTATTCTCAATTGCGCGGTGCACGCAACTTGGCTAGAATCTTGTTACATGATTGCTCCTAAATAGGCCGAGCGCTGCAAATATCAGCCCTATGACTGAATATAGAATATTCACGGACAACTGATCCACAGTTTGGATATTCTGCTGTTTTTCTATGTACGCATACTCAGGCTCTTCGCATGCTTTCCTCATGCATTCGCAATGAATTCTCGCTTCTCAATAGATCAACGCAACCTCACTTGCCTTAACTTACAGGGACACTTTTACAGCAGCCTGATGCTTCACCTACCGTAATACCATCGCACTTCTTTCTCAGAATGAATCTACTTTTTGTATTCATGGTAATTCGCACAACATCCACACTTCGAACAGAGGTGCCGCGAAGTCAAAGGTTCACTTTACTCATCAATTTCCGCATCTAGCCAAATTCACATTAAATTTAGATCCACTTACAATACAACGCTAATCAGCTATACTACAAAGCTCCTGGACACAATACTTCTTAACCAGGATAAAAAATTTCGACCCACTAATCCAGGTACCCTTTTCAAAATGACGCAATCAAGTTTGAAAAATCTCCATTATCAAGTTCGTACTGACTTTGTAAAAAAAATATTTCATGCCGTAAACAACTATTGATAGAACTATCAAAGTTTCACTTTTTTCTATTGAAACTAGCTACAGTTCATATGTGTATGTAACAGTGGCGTACCCAGGATTTCCGCTCGGGGGGGGGGGGGGAAGGGCGCGACAAAAAATTTTTTCGAATGAAGGTGCGTGGCGTTAGCCACGCACTCCGAAAATTTCAAGGAGTGCTTCTCAAAATTTTTGCGGGTTTCCAACCCTAAAATCCCGAAAAAGGGGGCGTGACGTCAGCCACGCCCCCGAAAAAAATTATTTTTACAAGGCTAATTTGAATTTTTAAAAATTTTTAAAAATTATTTTAATTATTTACAAAAATAAACAAGTCATTTGCACACTTTTATAACCCATATAAGTAACTTTCAAAAATTTCGCGACCCATTCTCGGGGGGGGGCACGCCCCCCCCGCCCCCCCCTCGGTACGCTACTGGTATGTAATCATTGTCACCCCCTGAGACCGATCGATATACAAAATTTTTTTTCACAAAAATTGACTGAGGCTTTTGCGCTAATAAATAGAGCCTTTCATTGTCTAAAGTGTGTAAATTAGAGTTTTCGAGATAGAACAAGAAGACCAGACCGTGCTTCTATGCGGTACCATTCCAGATTCATCTCCTCTGAAGGTTGAGATTGACATTAGCGTACGAAGTATGGGTCCTATTTCCGAGCAGAATATGGTAAGCCTTGATAATTAACAGGGTATAATTTGCCTATAATTAAACCCGTTGTTGTTCGCTAATGCAGTGAAAAATATCTTGAGTGTCACCAACCGATATAAAATAAAACAGACGGAGTATGTGAGAGTAATATCAGTTATACCCAGAATATTCTTTTGTTCTAGGAGTTTTCGCTTGATTGCTACTTTCGACAAAAGTGGCTAGATCGTCGTTTAGCATTTACGCCAATCAATCCGGATAAACCTGTTATGCCACTTGCAAGCAAAATGTTGAAAGACATTTGGGTAGGTCGTTTGTGGTTCAATAAAAATCTGGTACTCAAAAAATAGGTATAATGTAATACAATCAAAGTATAGGGTACGGAAAAAGTACTGTCCCTCCAGTTTGGCTCCTGAAACACCTCAAACATAAAGCAAATCTGTAGTTTTTTGAATCCCATACGTAGGCGAGATCCTTGAGATTAGTTAAAGATAAGTTTGATTTGAGACTGTTCCCCTCTGTCCGTTTGAACGAGTGATAATAGCGCGCAAGAACATTAACGATGCGCCGATAGCACATTAGCGCGATTCTGGACCGTAACTATACCACCAGCATCGATATAAGGTTCAAATTGTGCTGGTATGTAGCGCATGACCTCTCCTCCAATATTCTGCACCCATCGTAGATGACTTATAGATTGGTGACCCATTTTTTGCCAAATAAGGAAGATTATATCACACGCAAATCGCAAAAATTTTCGAGAAGTGGCGAGTCGGGACTGCGCTTGCTTAATGAGTTGGATCCAAACTATGATTCGAAATCCCAGATTCGAACAAAAAGTAACAGAAATAATGAAAAGAGCATCGGACTTTGTCTACATCACGATTTTAGAGCGATAAACAATTATACCTAGTTTCTGTGCTACGTTTCCTAATCGCACCCTGTTGCGCCGCAGACGCTATTTCTTTGAAAAACTTCCCAAATTTTCTCAGACTGCAACTGCGGTCTGGCTATTTCCAGCATATTTCGAGGACACTACAGCATTCCTCAAGCAATAGAGGATTTCTCAAATCCACGTTGGAAACAAAAGAATTTTTCAAAAAACTTCACACTTCCTTCACACTTATAAAAGAGAGTTGCAAGGCTTGATATGGGATGCGTTGTGAAAAGGGATCCACCGCCGGGTGAGATTGCAAAATTTTTTGGCCAGTTTTTGTAAAATGCTAGAATACATTCACATCTTAGGATTTGTGTCAAGTTTACCAGAAAAACCTAAGAATTACGCCGATTTTTGAGGCTTTATTTTGAGGGACAGTACTTTTTCCGCACCCTGTAAAGCCGAGGAGCCTCTTTGTTACCTTAATGTGCGCGTATACAATTTGTTTTTCGGCTCACAAAACGGCTTTACCGCACAATTATTTACACGGCTCAGGTGTCTTTCTAGTCGAACTTCGTCTCACATAAACATAACAAAACTAGATTTAATAATTACAATACAATTTGATTCATTCTATGCATTCAGGTCCCTGACACTTACATTCGAAATGGTCGCAAATCCTACCTTCACACTCTTACCGTTCCAAATATTTTGTTTAGAGTACGGTCCGATGGTCAGGTTCATGTGTCGCAAAGGTTAAAGAATTGCTCTCTGAACGCTGAATAAAATTCTGGATTTTTTAGGCTAACGATCCGCTCTAAATGTCATATGTTTCTGAGAAAGTTTCCTATGGATGTACAGGTAACGGAATTTGAAACTTTGCCATGCGAGAAGCAGACTTCAACAAAATCAAAATGTCACTCTTTGATCATCTTAAGAAATTCCAAATTTGGCTCTTCTTGGAAAAGTCTCATCAAATTTACGCGGAGTTTGCACGGAATTTTCTTTCAGACTAGACTACTACAAAAAGTGAATAAGTAAGTTAGTAAAGATTCTGCTCTATCAGGCTTGCCCAATAGAAATTGGTTCCCTCGGATACTTCGCTGACGATGTCGTTTACAACTGGAAGGATGTGGACCTGGATGCAAAGATGGGCAACATGCTATCTCAATACAAAATTCTGAACCATTTCAAATCCGAGCATAATTTCTCTGACTATCGGTTCCCGGACAGAAGTGAGTACTGGAACCAAACAGTTGCATCGGGGACACATAAGTTTGCCTTCAGACATATCCGTTCTGAAGGTGTACTTCAAACTTCAGCGTCAGCAAGGTTACTATGTGTTGCAAATCTACACTCCATGCACGTTACTTGTTGTAATGTCTTGGGTTTCGTTTTGGATCAACAAAGAAGCATCACCTGCACGTGTAGCACTGGGTATGTTTCAAAAATTGGCTTGCTCCCAAAGCTTAAAAATTTTTGCATTTTAGGAATCATGACCGTACTATCAATGTCTACACTTGGATTTGGTCTGCGTACGGATTTGCCTAAAGTGTCTCATTCAACAGCTTTGGATATTTACATCCTGTAAGTTGCTTAGATTTTGTAGAGAGATGTGGAACTCGTAACATTAATTCTTTGAAAAAAGTTGTGTTTGGGACTAAAATAGAAAACTTTCGACTGAACTTAGAGTCTCTGCTGTCAATTTTGTCAATTATCAATGCTCGCCACTCTCTTCTTTTACACATTTGGCACTAGTTGATTCAAACGAGCATCTGCTGCTGCTCGATGGGCTCAGCCCATGCCGAATACTAGACTGCCTTACAACAGAAATGTCAGCATAAGTCCTATGCGTTCGACATCAAGGAGCTGTGCGGCGCGTTTAAAGGTCTCACACCCCCAAATTTAGATTGATTAAGATTACGAATACAATAACATCACATGAACGCATTAACCATTACTCGAGAAGAAACAAATCAAAAAAGAATTATCTCGTCCCGTGCTGCCGATGCTTCGCCGTATTCGCCTCCACATACAGCGTTTAGTGCCCTCATAGCCACCAAACGCTCACGGAAGGGTGTGACCCCTCTGCAATCCCAACATGTTTCTACAACTATCGTCATAGGACCGTCGTGCGCATATCACGCTCCCATACCAAAATTAATGCTGCACCGCTGTCTTTGAAAATCATTCGCAGAAACTTACTGGGATCATCATCAAGCAGAACGAACCTATCATAATAGAGTCCATAGGCAGCGCCCCGGTCAAGTGAGGAGTGCCGACTTTTGTAGCGACGTTATATTATAGTAAACCCCTAATTAAGCGAGATTAAATTTGGAGCGGAAAAAGATGGCCTTTAAGCCTATTGCCCAAAAATGGCACGAACTTGCGGCAGGGCTGGACATCGCTCTCTCGAACTGCAAGGCTAGAGCGCGTAGCGCATGCAGTCATGAACGCAGGGTCCCAAAGCGACTCTGCGTCTTAACTTTAGCGGGCTTCGCGTGCTCACGTCTTAATCTAAGCATGGGGCCTTCAGGAAAAGCCCGTTTTGACATTTCACAGTCCGCAAACTGCACAGTCGGAAATAGCAAAACGGGTAAGCCTATATGCACACCTCGGCTTGGCACGGGTCCAGGAGAAGGGTTCCTCCCTCCAAGACAGTATGCGGCCTTTACTGCCGCCTCGGAGCTCTGACCGTCAAAGGCGCTAGCATTGCCTAGCAGCAAGCAAAGCTACAGCGCTGGACATAATTATAGGGACACTCTAGAAATCGTCGTAATTTTCGTTCTTGCCAGTGAATCTGTCTGAAACTTTGCTGTATGGTGCGCATGTAGGCCTACCATAAATCCTCAGAACGGCTTCCAATCCCGTTGATTCCGAACGGAGAAAAATGGAAAAATTCGAAAAAGCCTGTTTTGCAAGCTGGACATAATTATAAGGACACCTGGCCTTTTTAAACATTATCGCATTCCTTAACTCCCAAATTTTTTTTGTAGAGTTACATCCCAGATTATGAAACTTTTGCAGCACCTAAGACCTGTCATGCTACTCAAGGAAAGATGATCCTTGCATTTTTCGCTTCCAAAGGCATCAGAAGTCAAACTGCTTCAATAAACAACTGATTTGAAGAGTTTTCAAGCCCTTGTTCATTTCAAATGATAATTATGGAGTCTACTGGTCCTTCTGGATAGATGATGTGGAGAGCGCTTTCGTAAACTCTGCGTAATCGCTGATTTTGACGGACAGACTCCAACCTCAACATAGGATTGTCACGCTTTCAAACCACAAAACTCACTTTCCAATGTTCGTGAAATGATGGACTCGATTTCTTATATTGTCTACATGGAGACGCAGCTTTTGCAACAACTTTCAGATTTTTTCTAGTGCTGCAGTTGGCATTTAGATTTGAAATACTTTCCACGAAATTTCTCTGCGGGCAGTAGATTCAACACAGTCACAAATCTCACTATATCCTTCTCTGTTTCATGTCGCATTTTACGCGGTAGGTGAGATTAGTTAAGATTTTGAAGTTTCAAGCGCTCTTCTGTTCGATTTCTTGATTTGAGTTGGATATGATTGTGCAGGGTGCTCCACTCAACTCTCAACGGATGACAACTGCGGTTGAACCGCAACCCCGAAATTTTTTCCTGACTAGGCACGCAAGTTTATTGTTGTACGTGCATTGTTGCGGCTACATTGCAGCGTTTTCTGTAACTTGAAAATCGAGTTTTGTGGTTTAAAAGCGCGACAACCCTATGTTGAGGTTGGAGTCTGTCCGTCAAAATCAGCGATTACGCGGAGTTTACGAAAGCGCTCTTCACCTTATCTATCAAAAAGGCTAAGTGTATTCCAGGACTGTCATTTGAAATGAACGCGGGCTTGAAAACTCCTCAAACCAGCTGTTTGTTGACGCAGTTTGACTTCTGATGCCTTTGGAAACGAAAAATGCAAGGATCATCTTTCCTTGAGTAGCATGACAGGTCTTAGGTGCTGCAAAAGTTTCATATTCTGGGATGTGACTCTACAGAAAAAATTTGGGAGTCAAGGAATGCGATAATGTTTAAAAAGGCCAGGTGTCCTTATAATTATGTCCAGCTTGCAAAACAGGCTTTTTCGAATTTTTCCATTTTTCTCCGTTCGGAATCAACGGGATTGGAAGCCGTTCTGAGGAGTTATGGTAGGCTTACATGCGCACCATACAGCAAAGTTTCAGACAGATTCACTGACAAGAACGAAAATTACGACGATTTCTAGAGTGTCCCTATAATTATGTCAAGCACTGTAGGTCCTCTGATGGGAATGCCTAAAAACACTTTCGAAAGATTATCTGGTACATGAGCTTTCTGTTCAAATGACACTGTGAATCAATCTCAAACCCTTTTCAAAATATTTGAGATGACAAGTTTGGCAAATTCTGCTTTGTTGTTCTAGTAGCTGCTTTGGATTTGCCTTCGCTGCCATGGTAGAGTATGCCGTCATCAACTATGCAGCAATCGTTTACATACGTAAGCAGGTCCATGATCTGAAAGGATTGGAATCGAATAGAGCAGTAAGAATTTATACATTTTCTGATATGTTTCAAGAGATCTTTTTTAGATGGAGAAAATGCGTATGTTTACAGCTGGATTGATGGGAGCACGTCGTGATACTCTTGCTGTAAGTGATTGGGATCAGGGCTTAGTGTCTTAAGCTTCTTTTAGAGCTTACACTAGTCCTTTTTTCAAATCAACAATGAATCTCAGTTTAGGTAGATGACCTAGCATTGGCTGAAGCAGAAGAGAAACAGCCTTGGTATTCTTGCTTTATGAAGAAGAAAACGCCTAAAGCAACTTCAAGTCAGTTCTTTTAAATCCATTTACATCCATCCTCCCTCACCCCAACGCAAAATATTTCAGAAGACAGGAAACATTCAGGTTGATCAATCTTTGTGCACTTTTCAAACAGTTTATTTGCTTTTTCACTAGCAGAAACAGCACGCCAGTACTACAATGCACATCAAATTGTCAAATTCAACCAGCCTTTCAATTTCAGTGTTCTATCGAATGGCTGTAAAAGCAGCAAAAGCACGACGAAAGCTAAAAATGAGGGACCCAGCAAGAGTAAGTATTTTACTCTTAAAAGTCTTCGGATAGGATTTCTCATGCATTTACTTTTCGAGCAAAAGCAATCTTGAGGATCTATCACGAATGACTTGAGACAAAAAAACATGCTTAAATGACAAATTGAAGAGGTGGGGAACAACAGCAAGTTTAGAGCCGCGAACGGCCGTCCATCTACCTGGTTCTACTCAGAAATCCGTGAAATTTCCTACTTTTGAAGTGATAACAGGAGTAGGAGTAATAGCACTAACACCGTGCAGAAGTCACAACGCCATACTTTTCGAAGAGGCTCAATACTTAGCTTTAGCTTTTAGTGTCGTGCAAGCCTACCCAAAAGAAAAGGATAGGGGTTTATAGACGGCAAGGAGAAAAACTGGAATCAAGAACTGAAACTGAAGTCAAGTTCCCTCTCGGTAGTGTTTCTGTATATTCGTCAAACTATTTGCACAATTGCAAGAGCATCTTTAACTAGAAGCAGCAGCGCACATACTCAAAGTATTGTTGGTTTGTGAGCTTGATTGTACGTAAAGTTCTGCCAGGTACTTCTTGATTTTTTAACCTCGGGCTTATAAATGTAACTGTGTAAGTATTTTGATATTTTCACATAGAAAACATTTGTTTGAGTCAGCAGGAAATCTGACTTCTCCGGACATTTTAGGAGAGTTCGTTCAGGTTAGAGGGAATATGTACATCTGTACACAAGCCTTTGAAAAACTGAAGAGTTCGTATGTTGACTGCACACTAACTTTTATTTTACAGGTTGTGAATCGCATCGACAATGTCTCCAAAGTGATCTTCCCATCACTCTACATCTTGTTCAACATAATTTATTGGGTAGCGTTTCTTTACTGGATCCCTGATGAAGTCGATCAGATACTCAAATTTACTGAAAAAGGATAGTTGCTATGTGTTCAAATAAATTGTATAAAATGTTCTTTTTCGCCTCTGACACATAGTGCTTGATAAGCTAAGCAACTATATTCTTTTCCGGGCTTTTTCTTGAATTTGAAAACAGCTTACTGCTAATTTTTACGCTAATGCCTTGAATTTCAAGTGCATTACGCCGCGTACGTCCATCGCTCAATCGGACGCTCTTTTAATTTGTATATTCTCTTTCCTGTCTGTTAAGTGCTTTAGATATAGAAGCACAAAAATAAACAGCGAGGAAGCGGTTCTCGGTATGCGGACAACAACCTGTTTCTCATGACAGTCATTTTCTGAAATTTTCTGCAATGATTCACCTATACAAAGTGCTCTCTGCTAAATACAAGTAGTGTAGATCCTGTTCTTGGTAGCAGCGCGTCTGATTTGATCATTGCGGATGTAAGCACTACATTCGTTCCCGCTTTTGTACTTCATAACTTTGCCTTGGACTGGATGTACGGGAGGACAAGTCACTTATGAGTAGTTGCTAGCGAGTAGTAGTTTTCAGATACATTTCCATTATTCACTTTCGCTCTTCCCTGATCAGTTCTTTGAACATGCATCATCTCCTGTACATCCACTTTCGCCATGTCGATCGATCAATTCGGCTCGCTACGAGATGTCGACTGCTTCCTGTTCGCCTCAATTAAAGCTAGCTTTGTGCTCCTCTGGCTATTCTTCGTCGCTAACCCCCCGGATTCTGAGCGTTGCGCTCATTGAGGTTGCATCGACTGAGTGATTGCAGATCGTATGAGGAACAACTAATCATTCACTAACACAACAAAAACTTCCAAAACTACAGGAAAGCAAGGTGCCACATTAGTTTTGCCAGACTGTCAACATGGCGAAGATTAACTCTACAAGTTTTACTTCTTTTCAAAATATTCATATTTAATATTCAAGTTCATATCAATAATGTCATTGATCTTTTTCGCCTTTATAGAGCAACAAGATTTAAAGACGGCTGAGGGAAAACTCAAGCGTCATGCATGTGATTTTTTTCACTTTTTCGTGCTCTCGTACTTTCCATAACACGTTGAATGGACTACATTCAGTGTACTCCAGTCTTTACCTCCCTGAAAAAAAAAACTTGTTGACCAGATCAGACTAAAGTCATAACAAATAAATGTCGAAACTAGTTTTCCACGATGATTTTCTTGAATTCTTAGTCGAAAGTCGCAGCTATTTGAAAAATTTTCTTTCCGCACATTCTAGCTACAGCCTGTCTTTGGTACAGTTGCTATATAAGATCCTGGCATCCACTATAAAAACGTTGGATTTTATTATTTTTGAGAAAGGGAGTTTTGAGAAGCTTTTGTTTTCCAGAAGCTATTTGTGAATTGTCTGCCACTAGAGCTAACTTTTCAAACATTGTTCCATAGTCGATGCTGCATATGCTCCACCTGTTTGATAGAAGGTTGGATTTCCTGAACATTGAACGCATGATAGAAAAACCATTTATTCACATTATTAGTGACAAATTTCGACATCTTTCCATTGTGTTGAAAAGCATCGGACGTAATTTTTTATTCCATCTTCTCACGCCGCATTTGGTAACGTTCAAAAACGGGCCATCAAGTTCACCTAAGATTCATAACATAAATCTAGAATTTCATGAAGCCATCACACTCTACCTACGAGAAAATATTTTCGATTGGTTGTAAGATTCCGCCTGCATGGGTGCAGAAGTCCAGGTAACCGAACTTTTGTAGGCAGGACCACATTTTCATTGTACCTTCTCAAAAAATTGCGATACCTGAGGAGGTGGACGTTGAAATTGGTTTCGAGCGCTGGACCAACTATTGCTACAAGGGCTGGAAAAGAGCTTGTTTTTCAAAGATTCTATAAGGAGACAACGAGTGAGTAAAAGTATAAGTAAAAGTAAATTTAATTATATGCAAATACTTACCGACAAGACTGACGGGACCAGTACAAACTTGAAATCTAAGCGACTTGCACCCACAACGTGTACGTTTCCCATGACGTCTTCTCCATGCTGATGTTTCTCTCATCCTCAAATCTAGTATATCTGGTATACCATCTGCTTGTATATTCGTAAATAACATTGCAGAACAAAGTGCTTGAAGAAATTTATTGTAATAATTTCGAACACTTCAAAACACTCAAAACACATCTGGGTAAAGTTTTGTAAATTGGATGAATTATTGTCCAAAATGAAGCAAATAACTTGAAGCTTCAAAGAAGACGAGCCTTTCGGAAAACGCACACCAAGCTGACATGCACCATTTCAAGTGTTGTTTAACATTGACTCACTAGAGATAGCCTCAGTTTGATGTTTTACTATATGACTTTATTTTCCATTGACAAAGCTTATGAAGCAAAAAGAAATCTAAGGAAAAAAATCCTTGGCAAGGTTTAATTGCTCCCGATTCCGAAAGATGGTTTAGATTGTCTATGTGAGATTAGTGGATTGGTTATTGGTATTGAGGATGAAGCCTTTATGGAAATACATATTTTTTGAAGTCTCAATCTTTCTATTCAATCTTTCTCGCTTTGCTATAGTAGATAATTTCCTCATTACAGATTTCCAACAGTCGGACTGCAGTTGCTTTTTAATTCTTTACTCAAATACACTTGTAACAACTACGGACTGCAACGATTAAGACAAGATATTGAAATTGATATTGTTTGACTTCAAAAACAGGCTTTATTGGTTTTGTCTCCCTGAACCCAAATCTAGGCTGAGCCGCACATTGAAATGTAGTGAATGAGTTGTTCAACAACTACATACAATAGCTAAGCAGCTTATATTGCATGGTCACACGTACCGTCCTCAGTATACATGTATTCCATGAATTGCCATAACTTTTTATTGCTTGCCCGCTTTGCAGATTTAATGAAAGCATGTAATTGTTCAAGAGCAATTTTCTCCTTGCTTCATGTTCGGATTCGTGCAAACATCAACGAACATTCTATAATATAAAGAGGGAGGGTAATGAGAACTGAAAACTTATGTGAAAGGGGCAAATACAGAGTGCTCCACGCACGTTTTCGAGCATAAATCACGTTTTCATTTTTGTTGCCGTTTTGTAGCACATACAAGGTGTCTCAAAAAATGTATCGAACATCTGGCTTCAACTTATACTTATATTATGTAAATCATAATTTCTTTCCAATACTTTACACTGCAAAGAGAAGACCCTATGCAGAAAATTCAAGTTTTGAATAATTTTTTTCTATCGCTCCTATTCTATGCAAAAGATGACGAACTAGTAAGCAGCTAAGAGTTACGATAAAGAGCATGACTTACTCTTTCATATAAATGCAAATGCTGTCAAGTCGGTTGAGAAACTCAGAAGTCATGAATTTTTGAATTCGGTGCGAAAGAACATTCGGGTCGACCAAGTACTATATGTACTGTCACTCCATTGTAATGCTTTTTTCATATGTTAACCAGTACTTCCAGTATCCAAAGTCGTTTTCCATAGAAGTCTCACGAACAACGTTTTAGGAAGGCTGTTTCTTTGCCACGTGGCTAGAAAATTTGTTTTAGCTAGCATGTTTTTTGCAAAATCCGTTTCCTTTGTGGTACGAAAGCATTTGAGATGACCCAAAAGAGTAGAGCTTTTGAGTAAAAGCAAAACAGTCCGATTAGAAGATGTTGATTGCTTCCAGCAATTCAAAAATATCCTCTTCAAAATGTTTCCGTCATGGATTAGGAACGACAGAATATGAATGCTCAGACAATCGCAACATAATTTTAATTAATTTTTCAAACCAGTAGTAATTTTTAATCAATAATTTGCAATTTCAACATGATTTTTAATCGCAACATGATTCCGGAAAAAACTGAACCTGTAAAACTTATGGCGAGGACGTACTATTGAGCCGTGTGGGTGGGCTCCGCCCTACTTGGCCGTGCCCTACCTGGCAGCTCCAATACGAGTGTCCCGCCGGGAGTTTCAAAACTTCATTTTTCCCCGAAACTATTTTGCGATTGTCTGAGCGCGCTTGAAGTGCCCTGCTGCCGCTTGTTTTGCACTTGATGATGCTCTAATGCAATTCGTTTGGACAAATCTAGTGTGTTTATGTTCACTGAAAACAGGATGCTATCTTTAGTGTTAATGCTTATAACAGACTTATAAGACATGTGGACGACTACCGTTTATGCCAACCGTCCCGTAAAAGTGTATTACGATCTTTCTCAAAAACTCGTCGAAAGCTGAATTCAGCATGGTACAGCAGTACACAATTTTGGATTTTTTGGATATTCATTTAGAAGAGTCCAATCCTCTAAGAATTGCATATTGAAAATCTTTACCGTAGACCTACATTGATGAGAAACAACCTATGGTCCGCTCTTTTTTGAAAAGGACCGCGAAAGCTTTCCATGCAAGAAAGTTGTCAGAGATCAAACGTTCGATACATCATTTTAGAAACAGCGCAATTCGATGACTATTGGATTGGTGATTATAGAGCAGATTAGCTTTACCGCTTATTAATAATGAGTTTTTGGTTATAACAATGCGCACAAAACAAATGGAGATTCTGTTTGCAGAATTTGATTAGGCAGTAAAAAAAAGTAGTTGCAATGAAAGCGTTCTGAAGAGGCGAATATTGAATTGGTTTTTGCTTGCTTCAAAAAATCTTAGGAAAGTTGGATGAAGACGCTTAAGAAGAATGACAAGAAAAGTGGGACTAACGCGGAGTAGGTTTAAGTGACCGCGACTATGTGTTATGTTAAAGTTTGCTTTGAAACACTGATTTCAGGGATTTGTCCATTATCTGCGGAACGACTCTTTGAAAGCAATTGAGAGCGGCGTTCTCCCTCATAGTAGCCATGTCTGCAAGTTCACGAGTAATGTCGATAGGCACTGAAGGTGGCGATTGGTCTCTTCGTTTTTTTTTACTAAATAAAATGACGGCTTGCTATCTGTTGGTGCGCCTATTTGAATGTTTTTACAAGCGTTGCTTTCTTCCAGAGAATCATTAAGCAGGTAGTAAAAAATATAATA